TCCTTCCTTCCTTCCTTCCTTCCTTCCTTCCTTCCTTCCTTCCTTCCTTCCTTCCTTCCTAATCTATGTCTAGGAAAGTCATGAGTTCATGCTGTGAGGCCAGTCTGTACACCATAATACCTCCATGTCTATGATTAGTATTATTTTTTTTATACTTCGTTTAGTACAATTGTATTATACAATTGTATTACTTGTTTCTAGGAGGGATTAATTGCCAGAATGAATGATTTTTGCCCATTAATTTTTGAACAAGACTCATCTACACAGAGCTCTTAAAGCTATAGCATCTGGGGTACAAAATCCAGACAAAAAGTCAGGTAGAATAAAGAAACATAGAAAACTGTCTTTTTTAGCATCTTGTCATCATCTGTATTATTTTCAGGCTGGATCCATTAACCCTAATAGCATTTCAATTTGTTCGATAGGTAAACCAAGTTGTCTGTCTGTCTGTCTATCTGTCTGTCCCTTACTCGCTCCTCCTCCCCTCACTATCACTATCACTTGCAAAGAAAATGTTGTTTGTTATGGATACTTGTTCAGGCAGTACCCATGCCAGTTAAGCAAATGCTTAAGCAATTTGTTTAATTATATTAAGCACCCATTAACAGCAGCCTAAACTTTCCCCTGGGCTGTATCAGTGGTATAAGATTCTAATTGTTAGAAGACTAACCAAGATTTTCTTCTTGTGTCTGTAGGTGATTTTAATTCTGACAAAGTTGTATGACTACAACCTGGGAAGTATCACAGAGAGCTCATTGTGGAGGTATGTAGAGCTAATAATTACTATTTTCCTTTAAAACAAACTTTCATTAACCTTAATTGATTTTTTTAATATGATGAAATATTTGTATAACACTCTATATGGTCATTTGGGGCTGTTCTAATTCTTTAGAAGCAGGGATGTCAACACAAACACATTCTTTCCACCTAACTACTTTCCCCAAAGTATAATCTAGAGTGCACTTTGTGGAAGCCCAGTTGAAAGGAATTTAGTTCTGATTTAAAAAAAAAATCACAAGATTTCAGTGTCAGAATATTTTAAACAATTATACAAATTTTAAACCAAGTTCATAATGATTTCTTCCTCAACAAAGTAGCAGTGAGAACATTTCTCCTGTTTTTGAAGGGTTTTTTGTTTGTTTTAAGCCTATGTCTATTATTTTTTCAAAAAGCCCTAATCCCATGTTAAAAACAGAGATAGCATTCTTTGACTGCTAATCCTTCTGTATTTTAGAGGCATGAATATAATTTGATAAATACAGTACTTCAGAAAATACCTGTCAGATATACTGAGAGAAAATGTTTCAAAGAACCCGGTGACTGGTCTTCTTGCAGCCAAAGCCAAATAAAGCCACCAAATAGTCCTTGTTTAATGACTTCAATTAGACCAGCAACTTTGTCACTAAGTGACATTTCCTTTAAGCAAGACATTACATGATTGCAATTTGTGATTTTATTGTCGCTGTCATTGATTTCTGTTTTGGAAGCCAAGTATAAAGCAATGCAAATGTCAATCGTATGACTGTGGAATGCTGTGCTATGCTGAACCTCTGCCTGACTGTTACCTATTTTAAATGCAATGAAGGTTTCTACAGACAAAAGCATGGCTACACCATGGGTTCACCTGTGTCCCCCATTGTGGCTAATCTCTATATGGAAGAGGTAGAAACTTCTTCACAATAACTTCCAAAGTGGGAGTTATCAGAAACCTACACCACCGAGCTGAAGGGCTGCCTACCAGCAAAGATGGGAAACACAGAGAACTAAAACACATCAAGGAAGCCCTTAGAACATGTGGCTATCCCAACTGGGCCTTCATCAGATACCACAAAAGATCCAGCAGGAGCTCCTCCATAACAGACAAAGAAGAAAACAATAAATGAAGCAATGTTGCCATTCCATACATTGCAGAAATATCTGAAAAGCTCAGGGAAATCTTAAGTCAACACAATAGACAGGCACACTTTAAACCCAAGAATACACTAAGGCAGAAGCTTACCCCAAGGATAAAGCCTCCAGACACAAACTGAGCTATGTGGTATATGTAGTACAATGCAATGAGACATATAGAGATCTGTACATTGGGGAAACAAAACAACCACTTCATAAACACATGGCAAAACATAAGAGAACCCATTGAGACAAGATTCAGCAGTCCATCTGCATTTAAAAGACAAAGGACACTCTTTTGAAAACAACAAAGGCCACATTTTGGATAAAGAGGACAGCTGGTTTGAAAGAAGGATCAAAGAGGCCATCTATGTCAAAACTGAACAGCCCCCTCTTAACAGAGGGGGAGAGATAAGACATCATCTATCTTCAGCTTACAACACAGTCTTTTCAGCAGTTCCCAGCAGTTCCCGCACTACTCAGGTTATCCTGAGGACACAGATAAACCTCAGTGGCCTTAATGACTCTCTAAAACAAGAGTGTCCAACTTACATCGTCACTGTGGCATCATATGATATATCAGGACTTTCCCCCCCTTCGCTAAACTGGGTAGGGGCGGGCCCAGCATGTGATGCATCCAGCTTACAGGCCATGAGTTTGAAACCCCTGCTCTAAAAGAAGAGAGAGCTGCAAAGGACCAGCTCTCCCCACCATCCAGTCAGAGCTATAGAAGCTTCTTGGATAAGAAGCAAAACAACTTCAAAGAAAAACAAGAAAATCCAGTTGCCTCTTTGGGGCAACCATGACCTGGATGATGGAAAATCTCGATAGATAGTCACAACAATAGTTAGATTTCAAGGAATCATCCGGATTTGGATTCATTATATCCAAAGTCATTTGATGGCTATCCTGGTAATACTTCAGACAATACTTTTCTACTTGATTAGCTTTGTGTATGCAACACAAAGACATTAATGATGACCGCCCCCTACCTCAAATTGGCAGACTAGAGACTAATAGTGAAGGTTTTGAATTAGGCAGGTAGTAATAATGGCCTTAAACCATTCTGTCTTGATCTCTATATATTTGGGCTAGAGTTTTCTGCATATGTTTGAATAGAAGAATAGTTCTCCATTTTATTCAGATCCCTCCTTTATTAGTGAAGCTGCATTAGTATAGTTTCTCTTTAGATCTTCTGTATAATATTGGTATAAATCAGTGATAAGTACTTGAGCAGCCTTGAATGCTATACAGCTTTTAGTCCTACAGGGCAAGCACTTCTGAAAATATTTTAGGATCTTCTAAAACTAAGGTTAAATAATCTTAAAAATAGTAGGAAAGTTCCAGAGCTTTTAAAAAGGGTCTCAGGAACTGCTAGTAGCCTACTCTTAACCAAAATCATAGAAAAATATTGTCTTCAACTGATAAAGTGAATAATGCAATGCAAGGATATTTCCAGAGATAGATAATTTTATAAAAGGGTGTAAAGGCTTGTTCAATATATAATAAGTTAAAGCCTTAATTTATCTTTTGCCTACCAGACCAGTGAAATGAAATATAGTAAGTTGTTTTTTCTGACAGATACTCTCTGCCCTGATATTCCCATATCCATTAAAGATTTCTAGTAGGTAGAGTGCTTTGTTATTTCAGTGAGATGTTAAGACAAATTTTTAAAGATGTTTGACAAGATGCCACGGGATGTTATTCCTTAGCATGTTACTTTATTTAAGCTTGGTAATTCTACACTAACAATATCAAAAACTATTATAAATAAAATGAAAGGAATAATAGGTTATTGCTTTGATGGTTTGAACTCTTTCAGGGTAAATAAATCCTAATATTTATTTATTTCAAAATAAATATTAATCCTAAAATCTTGATTTTGTTGTTGAAAAAAATGTGTTCAATTTCTGAAGACTGAAGAGACTAAAGGGCTAGCACTTTTGGCCTTTCCCAGATAGTGATTTAGAATCCTTATGACAACATAAATTAAAAATAAAGCAATATCTTAACACTCTTATTCAAATTTCATGGAAAATATGCAAACAGACTATTTTAAATCATAAATGTTCTACCATATCACATATTTTATATATTTTACTTTGAGATTGGTACCATTCATAATATTTTGAAAGTTCCCAGGTTGGATGAAGACACTTTTAACAGACTGATTGTAGTGGGATTATTTTCTGACAGATTCTGTTACATGGCATTGAAGGGTATATGATACAGTGGATGACCAGTTGGAAAGGCACTAGGTCCAACATCCTGTTCAGTGCAAGAATTCAAACTGAAGCATCCAGATGGCTGTGTAAACTGCCGTTGAAACATTCTTTGAAAAAGAATTCACAACCTCCCTGAATAATTGTCACATTTCTCTTGGTGTTGAGAGATTTTGTTCTCTGTCAGAAACTCTCTTCCTATAATTTAAATTCATTAATATGTCTTCTACTATTTGGAATGAGGGAGAGAACAGATCTTGACCACATCTTGGACATCTATTTATATTTTATGCTTTTGAGCCATTTTTTAACCCTGCCCTGCCCTGTAGATTTCTTAGTAGGTTTTTCAGAAGTGCTTTGCTATTGTCTGATTCTTAGGCTGTGATGCAGTGATTGGGCTAAGACCCAGCTGGCTTCATGCCTGAAATGAAAGTGGAACTTCTCTCCAGATTTCTAGACTGATGCCTTAATCACTATACCATATTGGCTCTTTATTGGACATGCATTCAGGAATATAAATATAAATCATGTTCCTCCTTAGTCAGCATCTTCTCTTTGTAAACTGTCCTTTCCATTTGCTGATTTTTGCACTTACTTTGGAAGGCATCATGCACGATTTCTTTTTGAACTGGAGTGTAGGCTGTACTCTTGACAATGGGCTACAACAACACTATTGCTTTTATTTGTTTGTCTATTTATGTTAATTCAGATGCTCTCTAGTGTGTTGTCAAGTTCATTCATTTGCATTTCTTAATACAGATTTTTTTAAAAAAGAACCATAAGGAGTAAATCTTATTCTTCTTGCTCCTGGTCATTTTGCTTAACTCAGTTCAGTGGTGATATTCTATCAGTTTCAGCCGGTTCAGTTCTGAGGATCATCTATGAATGAACCAGTTCATTCCTATGATCAGCAGCTTTCCTCCCCACTCACCCCAGCATATATTGACCTTTATTTCCTGCTTTTCAACCTCAGCTGCTTTGCACGGCACAGCCAATTTCCACGTGTCAGCTGTTTTACACACAGGGCTTACAGCAGAAAGTGAGTTGCAAACACTGTGCACTGTGCAAAATGTGTGCTCACACTGAACCGGTAGGAAAAAATTTTGAAACCCACCATTGACTCAGTTTCTATATTCCAATAATGGGAATAATCTCATTGAGCCTCTGTTGCATATATTAAATCATAGTTAATATCCATTTTGTTTATCAACACAAATAGAGTTCTAGGTCATGGAAAGTAGTAGTTTTATGATATTCTGCGCAGATTCAGGGTAGGGCAGAAAGAATGATCAAGTAATAGGAAACCCCAAGTATGAGCAATTTGACAGCAGAACAAATTAACCAATTAATCTTCCATTCACTGAAAACAAGCATTTCTCTCTTTCAAGGAAACTTTCATTCCTGGAAAAAAAAAACCAAGAATCTAAGATCTAAATGGCTTACAGCACTCTGAGTTTTAAAAAAAAATTTTTTAGGAGTATTAGCTGATTGAACATGGAAGTTGTGCACATTATCCTTAGTTATGGATGGGACATTCCCTTTTTTTTTAAAGTATCAGGTTTCCATTTCTTAACAGATTATAACGTGTCATCTCTTGTTATGTTGTATATAACTTCTACTTTCTTTAAAATCAGCAGATATATCCTTCTAT